TGTGTGTGTGTGAGTTGGCGCGCAGCTCTGCCTCACTGCAGTGCTTTGATAAGGCAGTTGGATCAAAGGTAGAATGAATGATCATTCGTCTGTTGTTGTCTGGAGTATTTGAACATCAGACTCAAGGTCTCCGCTGAGCATTCGTTGACTATTTGCTGTGTCCATTGAAATACTGTGGCTTACAATTCAAAAGAGAAGGCTTCCTAGAATTGGATTCTGATCCAGTCCTAAGTAGAGTTAAAGCCAGTACCCTCGAGCTGTTTGGATGTAAATCCATCTCTCTACATCTCTCCAAAGCTCTCGTCTTGATTGCTATTTGGATTCCTTGCTGCATGTGGGGCATGAATAAATGAGTGGAATCTTGATCTTCTGCAGAATAAATGTTCTCGATTGAAGCACTTCAGGGCAGTTTGACACTGGGACTTCTTTTGTTTGCTTGTGACTAATCAAAATAATTTTGTATCCAACTGAATTTTCTTAAAGGAATGCATTAAGGTATTTCTACACATGTTGGTTGTAGAGAGGTCCTCATTAGAACTCCACCATGTTCTGTATTCAGTGTTTAGGTAGGAAATTGTGTACCTTGAGCCATTTAGTGTTTAATGCAGACAATAGATTGAATCCCTACTGCTGTCGATCCATACAGTCTTGTACGCTAAGCTGGTTATTTATATGCCTTGCATTGTTTGAAAAGAAGGAACACAATGTTCCCTAGCTGTTCTGAATAGAAATCTTAATGAATTAATAAATCTTGGCAGCAGAACCATTCCTGACTGACAAAATACAGGACAACGAAGCCCACAGATGGCAGTGGGGAACAATGTCTCTGTGTGTAAGCTGATAAGTCATGCACTGATGAGTCCATTTCGTAATTGCAATGAAAACTCATTTTCAAATCTGGCTGAAGAGGTAGGGTTATTAATTGATCTTTTAATTAAAAAGCCTTGCGTTCTGTGGGTTCTCTTGGCAAACAATAGTTTGTAGCTAAATAAATCATATTCAATCTTGAAGCACACCGATTAATCATTAATAGTCACATGAGGATAACTTAAGGCAGACAACTTAGTGAAGCGCCTGTACATTAAGGTGTGGTGCTTTCCAAACAAACTCTGCCCATTCATATTAGTGAGGGCAAACATTTCATTCATCATAAACATGCATGTATTTATGTGCTTAGTAGAGTTACACAATTGGAAACAGCATCTTTATTTTGACGACAGAATGTAAATGTAAAGGAAGTCGGCCTGTAATCGACCAACAACAGGCCATTTGTCAACCCGGCAGGGCCTTACAGCGCCCATTTTTCTACCTCGTCTGTGCTATTCCTGGACCCAACCCCTCACCCCCATCTGGTGGAGTCACCATGACTCCAGGCATGATTTACAGCACCACCACAGCATTCTCCAGACACTAAATTACCTGGATTATTGGGCCTTCATGATTTTTAGTGCACTACTTTGCATTACTCTCCAAATCCTGATGGTGCATTGCACAATATATGATGATTTAGGACATGCCAGCAAGATGAAATTGGAATTATTGGATTGGACTGGATTTTATGGCTGTGATCTGTCTTAACATAGCACCGTGCCAAGTTCCAAATTGAAAAGACTTTGATATTATTGATATGCATATAAAATTTTACCATTCTTGACCACATATGAATCTGTGGAGGATATTTTTCTGTATTCCAGCATGTTGCAACAGTTGTATGACTTGAGTGATCAAAAGGACAATTTCTGGGTCCAAGACTACTTTTGAATTTTTCACATTTAGTCTCGTGAACTTTTATGAGCAGTGACTTTGATTTAATAGACAGTGATGGATGATGCGTTATGTCTGGATTGACACTGGCTCATGGTTTGTATTGTTCTATACATCCCCATGAAGGATAGGCTGTGGTGCTCCTACTATATGTTGACCAGCGAGATTTACTTTGTTTTCTTACCAATTTTACTTGCCAAGACTTTAACCAACTTCTGATAGGGCTGCCATCCAAGATCCGACTTTGAGTCTAATGAATAAAGCACAGTGTTCTTTTTGGCAAATAGCTGATCCATTTGGTTCTAAATAAAAGGGAAAACATCAGAAATGCTCCCCCTCCCCCCCTCAAAAAAAAAAAAAAAAAAGAAAATAGGCCATAAATTGATAGAACCATAAACAACAGTGACTTTATGTGTGAGGTTTCAAGTATTGACACACCTGCCTGGGCCACCGTGTCCACTCTCCTAGTAACTGTACAGCTTGACAGCCAGGTCACCCTGGCACTTTCAGAGGCTTCAGATAATCAATGGCACTGCACAATGACACCAATGGAGGATTATGAGGATTCACTGAGCCTCTGTCAGGCAGGGTATTGCATTGATTTTGTCATACTTGTTTTTGTTTATTTTTATTTATGTGCTGTGCAGTATCTACTTGTCCCCCCTTCTTTTTTAAGTATTTCTGTTGTACATTGTCAAATACTTAACACTTAGATTTATTACAAGCCCTCTTGTTTTTTTCTGTAAGTTATGGCTCTCCTGTAAGTTGCTGGTAAGGTCTCTCGGCTGGGTTGCAGGATGGTTTGGCGAGCACTCAGGCTTGTTTTGATCAAAATAGATTCATATCTGAATTGGGAAAAGTGTTCTTTAGATATTTTATAGATCCAAGGTTAGACACACCTACAGGTTGCACACGCATTCGCTGAGGAACAGCAAGCACATCCAGTCAAGGTCTAACAATACCTCGCAGCATGGCATCCAACTTTTCATTCACTGATAAATGAACAGGAGAAGCTGTGGCATAATGTAGCACTTGTTTCACGGTCTCAAGTCCTTCAGATTATTCAGCTGAGCCACGGAAGAGGGAAAATAAATGCATAATTGGCACACATATGCAAGGACTGGAAATCAACATACACTCATCATATGAATGTGCTCATTATGATGCACAACCAGGTTGATGAAAGGGCATCCATCATCACAGTGCACGCTGTCACCTCACTGTGCCTCTCGTACATGMTCATACAGCACATGTAATGGTCACATGTATCTTTTCACCTCACACAGATCTGTTGCCTCCCACCTCATCAATCTACGCAGAGTCATACAAGTTGGATGAGAGATCGCTAATCCTTCATTGAACCAAGGCTCAGATGTTTGCAATACCCCTGTCTCACAGAAACACATATATTTTCTATAAGGAATCATGTCCTTACTGTAACATACCTGGAATAAACGCCAGAACTACCCTGTTTTGTAGGAGCTGCACCTTCAGATACTGAATGAAAAAGTTTTTGGGAGTTTGTTGCCAGTTAGTATCTCTGGGTTCTTCAGTCCAGGGACGCTGCAGCAGTACACACCAGGTCAATCTTTCACAACATTTCAAAATGCAACCGTAAGTAAAGGTTTGCAGGCGCTCGGCCAAGCCATTCCATTGGATACAGACTGGAGTCCTTACTGACAAGTTGTTCTTGAAGGCTCTTTGTTAGAATATAAATAGTCCACACACCACATCTTACTTCCAGACATGCCTGGGCAATTTACTGTTTTAATGCAGGACTGACCCTATAGAGTGCAGGCGGGTTTCCACGTATCATAAAGAACCATGTTTATAATCAGAATGTATATGAATGACACAAAGTAATCTTGCTTGTATTGTATGCCAGCTGGCCGTGAGTGGGATTGTTTGCTCAGATTGGCTGTTTATCATTTGTCAAGCTTTTCGGAGTCAAGCCAAGTTTACAAAATACTCACTGTTAGATTGAACCCTACACCTTATAATGATTAGTTCTCCAGTGTTGATTAACATAGAATCAGGGGAAACCAGCGGGTATTATCCACTAGTTCTGTGAGGAGCAGTGCTGCTTACTGCCAGCACTCCTTGTCCTCAATTTCTTTCCTTCCATAGGTTATGAATTCAGCATTACTCTGATAATGGACGGTAATTACCCATGTAACAAATGAAACCTTTTTTATTGTCATTTTGTGACGAAGGGAAAGGTACAAGTGTTTAAAATCCTTTTGTCTGGCTGCTTTTGTCAATTGTTGCAATTCTATATAACTTTAATTCATTATTTTTGTTTCTTTCAAGGCTGTGTTACTATAAGCAGGGTAAATATTTGAAGTACAAAAGGACTTGGCTGCTTAAGAGTCCGCCCGTATGTAAAACTGGCTTCATGACACCGGCAAAGAGATTTACAGCACATGAAAGGATCCTCATTCTGCATTCACAGAACCTGCCTCCACCATTGAGTCTTTGAACTTCCATTAAGCCATTTATCACCATGCAGTGCAATTCATTTCATTTCCCTAACGCTGGGGATGGCTGCCCTCTTCCCTCCCCAACTGCACCTCTGTAGATTCTGAGTTTTGAGTTCACACTATGTAATGTGTGCACTGACCACGAAGTCTGAGGCTGTCACTTTCAAGTTCAACAACCCTCATTCCTCCATTGCTCTACGTCTGACTGGCACTTAAAACTTTTCCCTTAAGATTGCCTTTATCCCCATGATAACAGATTTATCTTTACACTGTTTTTTTTTCTCTGCTAACACATTTTGTTTCTTTGTTTTTTCTCCAGTTGCCCCATCTATCCATGAGATGAAAAGCCATGGAGTTGGTCTGGGGCGCACAGCTCTGCTCAGGTGCGAGGTGGCTGCTGTGCCTTATCCAACAATTGAGTGGTACAAGGGTGAGAAAAGGTGAGCCCAGTTTTATTGTATGAGCTATTTCAGAAAACAGCATCAGCAGCATCCCCCAGATCCTCTGGATGCTTCTTTGTTGTGTCACAGATCCATCATCTTGCCAGCAGCCATTGGCTTAATTCCAGGCATCTTGAGACAAGTGCCACATATTAAATATTCTTTAAAGTTTGCTTAGAATGCTTTGTATTTTACAGCCATATTGAAAACATGATTGTAGTTAATTTATGACATTGATAACAGGTACTTTGCTACTATGTGTTACCTATTTAATAACCAGTGTGATGGGAAGGCTTTCTACCTTTCCAAATTTTAACATCTAAGATGTCTAAACAACACACAGTACTCATTTTCTCCCAAACAACAACCCCTCTCTAACAACCACAATCTCAAATTATGGACTACAAACCACACTACTAATATCTGTATATGTCACATTCTGAACTGCCGACGTTCAGCAAGTAAAGATATGTAATTCACCTTTATAAATATGTGACCATGCCCTAAATCTGTATGTGAACCCACCAGTCAGATGTCGAGTAGACATCATCACATCAGATATATCTTCTCTGCCAGTCGCAATCAAGTCTGAACGCATATCCAGTGAGCATTGGGGTTTAATCCATTATTATAAATAGGAATGGATACTGTTGGTGGATATGTTTTGAAACACCAGACAAACTTGTAAGTGCTATTAACTTAACTAAAAAGGAATATTTTGTTGAGATTGTTAGAAAATGACTAAATAGAGCCTCAACTTATCTCCACAAGAAAGTCTATGGACTGAAATGTGTTTCAAGTTGAAGTCTAAAGTGTCGTCTTTCAAGCTGACGTTTAGCAGTGATGGTGGCATTATCGTGAACAAGCACATGCTATAAAAGGTATTGTTTTGGTTTGTCAGAATTTTCTCAGAGACAGGGCGTTTGTTTGTTCTTCCATTCGTCCAGCCCCTGGGGAAAGCTCACAAAACTGTTCCAACAGGCATCATTAATGCCTTGTCCTCACCTTGCATCTTAATAAAATCTCTGCTGGCAACTGGCTTAAATCATTCACGGCACATACATCAATCAGCTGCGATTCAAGTGTCAGTTCTTGAATTTAAAAACCAAATTACCCCCATTACCCATCATTTACTCACTCCTGGTGAGCACAATTTCAATCATCAGCTCACACTGTGCTAATTGTAATTATGGGGTGGATTCAATTTATTCAAATTGCTAAGAAGGCAAGTTGGCATGTTTCTTCTTTACTTAATTCAAGGACTGGTTCTTTCTGTGACTTAGAATGGCTAACTAGTGATTTCTTCATTTAATTGTTTTTCGCGGACAAGCACAGAACATGTGTAATTTCTGTACAACATTAACACTGGCTGTAACTGTTTCATTGCCAATTTAATAACCATGAAGTGAGGGCCACCTCTCATTTTGGCTACGTATTGATGCAGCTATTCCATCAGTGCTGCTGCCAGTTTGTGTCTATCGAAAGTACTTTGACAGATTTGACAAGCAAATCTCTCCCTTGGTTTGTCACTGCTCCCATTCTTGAATGGAGGTTGGTGAGTGTTTATGTGTGTGTTGGGATGCCTCTTTCACTCTGACAGAGGGAACATTGGCTAGTTTCATGATGAGGAGGCGAGACACCCACCAATATTATCAGTGAATTCTCAGCTAACATTTGAGATAGTTGTTGTCAGAGAGGGAACAACAGATCTGTAGATATTTGATGGACATTAGGTCGCAACTCGAGCCACAGCAACTGGAGCCAGGCTGGAGGTCATGGGCCAAAGTAGGGCTAGGATAGAAACATGTTTCCTCTCTGGAGGTTTTTATGGTTTATAATGTCAAACTGTTGCAGCAACACAAATCTAATTTATATTCACAATAATCCCACAATCAGGATTCATGGCTTTTTCCATAACAGACTGATTTTTAATCACTACAGGCTATTAAAGATCATAACGGCTATCAAAGTGAACGATTAAACATTTGTCAATTCTACAGCATAGATGCCAGTCACAACTGGAATAGGATTCATTGTAATCCTCATGCACCTGCATCAAAGCAATGAACAAGATGTCAAGTGGCACCCAGCGGTTTTACCCCAGGGTCATTTCTGTGTATTCAGAGCGAATCTCTGTGATGGACCACAGGATAAACAGATCTGTTGATGAGGGCGATAAAGCACTGTACATTCTGAGGATCCACTTAAAGATGATAAACATTTGTACCTTCTTTTAATGCTGCTTCCCCCTGACACTGTGTGTGTCTTTGTGCGAGACATACAAGCTTTATTTGTATTGATTGTGTTCTATTTTTCAGGATTATCAAGGGTCAAGGCATCGACATCAGGAGCCTCAGCTCCAGATCAGTCCTCACAGTGACCAACATGACAGAGGATCGTTACGGGAACTACACATGTGTCGCCTCCAACAAGCTAGGGACGGCTAACGCCAGTGTGCCTCTCATTCGTAAGTTGTCTGTCTACCTGCTTGTGACTGTCTGGAGTTGTGGAGAGTCAGAGGGCTGAGAGGGTGTTGTAGAGCTCATTGGGGGTTTTTGCCCTCAGAAGCTTTAAGTTAAACCCAGTGCTGCAGCTGAGTGCCCACATATCATCAGTAGAAGTTGTTTCTCATTTCCTAGTCATCAGTGTTGTGAATGTTGGCTGTCTTAAGTAGCTGCTAAGTCTGTATGTATGTATGTATGTGTGGGTGGGTGTGTTGCTGTATGTCTGCTTTTAGAATCTACAAATACATTTGTTCTGGAAAAAAACCCCACACCACCTGAAAAAGAAATGTTGCTTTGAGGGGAGAACTGTGCAATTACAAAGGCAGCTACACAGGTCAGTAATGTTATGTTGGACAACAAGTAGGCATATGATCCAGATTTTACAGAGGTCTGACAGTCAGCCCTTTCATGGATTTGAAAGCGACATAAAGTGTGAATAGCCAAATAATTAGATGCCAAGCTGCTGGTGCATCAGTGAAAGACTGAAGAAGAGGGTGATTATAATCATCAAGACTGTGTTTTAACGGACTGAAAGCCCAAAGCAATGTATACAAATAAAGAGCAAATAATTAGAAATACATTCAGTCATTCATTAGCTCTAGCGCTTATCCTCTGAGGGCCATGGAGATTAATTTTAAATGTAATTTCTAAATAAATTATCCACAACATAATCAGACATTTAGCAATATGCTTAATAAAAGGCTCAGAAATTATGTTTAGCAGAAGGATTATTATTCCAGTCTTTGCTATTTAACTGGCATCATATCCATGTAAAACATGTGAAGATCCTGATATCCTTTGTAGAAAACTCATTGGCCTCAACGATGGATGATGCAGAGAAAGGGTCACGTCAATAATGTTCTTATATTTTAAAAAAGGAAATCCTGCAGAAATCCTTTTAAACAAGTTCCAGTTCACAGTCGCTTTTCTTCTACAGACATCTTTAAATCTCTATGGGAAGTGGCTTTTTAAAACTTTCATTCCGAAAATAAAAAGAGACTATTGCGCATTGACAAATGTTCCAGTATCCCTCTACATACATTCTCAAACTTCAGGATCTCTCCACTTATTCAGAGCCTTGTACTTTACTTTGTGGTAGGTATTTCATATATCTACACTGTTATTTTGTCCGCCTGTTGTACCTGCCAAGCAGCAACAAAAGCAATGACAGCGAGGGGCTGGGGAGCAGATTTCCCTCAATGTTTTAGAGTGAGTATGGGTGGAAAAAAATTCAGTTTAATGTATTCAGTGATGAAATATGAACAGGTGAATTAAATTATTCACCAGATTGCGCTTCACCCTCTGATGATAACATTGTCCCTAGCAGGCCAGAGACTCGGAATACAAAAAGATATTTCTGTAGAGTTGGCAATTGTCAAAGGAGCACTCCACTCTCCTGTTTGTGTATGCACAAAGAACATCAAAGCCTTGTCTCAGATCCTCAAATGGATGATCTTAATGTGACACCAGCGAGGCCTCAAAGGCAGAGCGGCAAAGAAACCCTCAGAATAGACAGAGGAGGCAGCTTCCTGTGCTGCCACCTCCAACGTCTCTCTCTTCCCTCTCTTTATCTCTTTGTCTTGCTATCGTGGCTTTGTTTATCTGATTCTCTTATCTCACTCTCTTGCTCCCTCGCTCCTTCGTCCTCTCTTGCTGACTCCCTCCCTTGTCTCTCTTCTTTCTACCTCTCTGTCACTCTCTTTTTCTTGCAGACACAGTGTTTCTTTTTCCCTCCCTTTCTCTCTCATGATATCCACTAATGGAAGAGAGGCCAATTCTGCTGTCGCTCCTAATGAGAAATGGCAAGCAATCGCTGCAGCACACTCTCACGGGTCCGTTGATGCAAATAACAAAACCCAGAGGTTAGATTTCACCACGGGTGACTTTGGATTGCTATTTTAGAATCAGTCGATAGCTATTGATGAGCAAGGTGGGGAGGGGGAGCGGGGCATGCATATTTGATAGAACATCATTCATTGAGGTGAATTATAAGTGGCAACAGAATGAGGGTGGTTTGCGGTGAAGAAATTGAGTATGTATGTGTATATACAGTAGTTTCCTCAGTTGTTTCCATTACAGTAAAAGGTTCACTAGATGCAAATTAATTGATAAGGTCAAGCAACGGTCATTCCCATTGAAAAATATGTGAAATACAGCCATTGGAGATTAACTATTAACCAAAATACCAAGTATTTAGGGCTCACCTTCATGAGTCTGTTGTCATGAATCAGAAGTTGAAAGGTTCTCATCCTCGAGCTGCATAAATCGTTTTTTGTCTTTAATGTAAGAGAGTCACTTTAAATTAGTCCAGTGAAACAGATGAGATAAACTGTGACTGGACAGCTTTCACTCAGAGAAAGTCACAGGGATACAAACTTGATTTACCACCCTGGGAGGTAGTGTTTTGGGGACAGGCCTGTCTTCTTCTTGGTCTGAAGAGAGGTCTATGTTTAAAACATTACCTACCTGGGGGGTAAAATAACAACGTTTGTGATTTGTGTAGATGAGTTTACTTTTTTAAGTGGCTCCCCCACCACTTTCACATTTAACCCCAAACCTGCATCGCTTGTGTCAAAGGTCTTCTAGGTCCGAAGAAGGGCCTGTGCCGAAAAGTTTGTGGGAGCATCAACTGGTGTACAGACATTTCTCGTCTTGTGGTTTTCTTTGCTTCTGCACAGTGTTTACCAAGTGTGGATAATGAATATCATTTTGCATTGACGGGGGGGGACATGACCCTAAACCTGCCTCCCTTGTGTCAAAGTGGTTGTCAATGCTTAGGTAAAACTTTGATGAAAGGATGAAGTTGAACTATCCTTCTGTTCCTGAAGAGAGAAAAGAAAATACTAAGAGAGTCAACTGGGGTAAAGAAAAGATTGCATCGTGGCTTCATGTACATTGATGTGGTAGATTCTGACTACTTCCTGGTTTTCTGGGATGAGCTAAATGGCCATGTCCTCACTATCTTTGGTGGTTAGAATTCATAACTGTTAGTAAGGATAGGCCATGTGGGTTTTTGTGCTGGTAAACCATTATTCAGAGATTGTGATCTCGTTCAGCTAAGTACCACTTTAAGCAGTGTGTTAAAAGCTGTGGTAAAACACAAGCTGGGTTCTTTGGAGCAGAGAGAAAGCATTCAACCTCTTTGTCGCCACTTGTTGGAGTACTCTGTGTGTGCTTGTGAGTGCACAAAGCTTTTTATACCTGATCACCTTTTTCATAACACAATACCCAGTGTCATCAGTGAATGAACGAATAATACAATGGAAAAGCACATGGCATAACTGTCTGTGCTGCTGAGCAATTGTTAAGTTACGAAGGTGTAATGAATTGTACAAGACAACAAGCTTGGATGATAGCTTGGAAATAATTTTTGTGTTTCTATGTTTACAGATGGAAAATTTGTCTTTAATTGAATACAAGTGAACAGCACTTGTACAGGTGCAGTCCATGCTGTGATTAATTTTCTGCCTCTCAGTAACTTCAATTGTATTTTCCTCCTCTCTCAAAATCAAATCGAACCACAAAGTGTGTACAATAGAAAAGCAGTCGCAATTAATGATGTCTCGGCTTTCTGAGAAAATTATAGCTTTACTGTTTGTTTTTTGTTTTGTCAGTTTGTATTAAAAATTGTCCAAATGAAAGTTGTCAGACTGGAATAGAAAGCCTGCTGTGTGAGACTAGATCCACTCATTTGAATTTAAACTAAGAAAGATGCCAGATTCATACAAAAACAGAAGTTGTCAACTACAGCAGGTGCTGAGTACTTGGTAATTCACCTATTGGGTTTTATTTGACCTGGACATTGTAAATTCATAACCATAAATTACAACCATCCAAATAGCTTTTGTGGACAGATGATGCAGTCAGCATGTTTGTTGTCATGTATAATATAGTTTAGTTAATAAACCATTAGTGCTGGCTTTGCAAATGTTTGTAGGGTAATTACTATAGCTCAACACCATGAGCACATCAGCTGGATTCGCCTGTGAAAACAGATGACTACAGTTTAATGAGTTTCTGTGATTATGTAAGACGGAAAAGGGAGGAAGAAGGAATTGAATGTCAGATTGAAATTTTTTTTAAAAACTGCTGCTTTTACAGCCCAAATTTTTGGAAGTGTAGGGAAAATAATAATGATAATTATAATGTTTGACAATCTAGTCATTAATGAATACATCCTATTGTTGCTAAGCAGAGACAGATCACAAATATCAGTGTTACATTCTGGATTAATGAATGGCCAATAATATTTACTTGACTATGATAATGTAAAAAAATGTTCTTATATTTTTATTTTGACAATGTTAATATAAGAGAAGAGAAGATATTGTAATACACTCAGTATAAACACAATGAACGATAATAAATAGAAAACATATGGAAAAGGTAAACTGTTACAGTATTACAATGTGATTACCGCCTGGTTAGGTTAGTTGAAGTGAGACATACTGATATGCATGTGGTCTATGGGAGCGGAGCTGGTTGTATAGCTGCAGGAAGGAGGGACATGCTAATGCTCATGAGACAACTGCAGAATGTTTCAGCCATGTATTTGTATTACTCTAGTTCTGAAGGCATTTTCAAAATCCTCAGATTTGATTCTTTGAACCATCAGGATAAGAAAAATACTTATATGTTTTTAATTCTAAGCAAGGACTACAGCCAGACATGTCATATCCATCAGCTCAATTGTAACATGTATAACTGAGTAGAATAATTCCAAATGTTATGCTATTCTATAGTGGTACTCAGAATAAAGTGTTAATCCTTTACTTATGGTTTACAAAGAAAGCAACAGCATATGTAATTTGCTTTAGGTTGTTTTGAATTTCTGTTTATTTATTTTTAGCTCTAAAATGTTGAATGTAATGTTAATTCATGAGGCACAAACTGGCTCAAGTCACACAATAAATAATATAAAGATTTAACAGTTACTCTTTAATGGAAGTTTATGCAGTGTTCTTTATAAACAGGAAAATACAGGAAGAAAAGAAGAATTGACATGAATTATTTTAAATGTACCAAAGCATTTACTGCAGGTTATATTTCCCAGTTTCTTTTTGCACATACACATATACAGTATATGCACACCAGACTCACACACACAATTTATGATTTTAGCGAAATGGTAACAATCACTGGCAATCCCTATTTCAACTTCCAATTTCATGTGCTGTATGGAAGTGAACTGCAATGAAAAGACTGAGGCTGTTCACTCCAATTTTCTGAAGAGTCCTCCAGCTTAATTGGTCAAGCTCTTATCCCCCAGCCCACCTCGGCTTAGCCCTGGAGGAGATTTTCTCCAGCTATACCCCTGACTTCATTTCCTGCCCCTCTTTCAGCCCCCCTCTGAGCAGTAATCAGAAGAGACTGATGGGGGAGAAAAAGAGTTTCTCTCTTTCCGTCACTGCTCAGCCTCCCCCAGGCAGGAGAGACATTGCTGGCTAGTTGGTTAATGAACGTCATGTTCGTTTGTCACGCTTATCAATCACCTCATGTGTAGGTGTCATTTCGACATGTCTTCTCATCTGCCATTGTTGTTGATGATGTTGTTTGTTCCTACACCATAGATAAAAGGTGCAACCTGAAATGTAGGTGTATGATATCAGCTCAAAATGCAGGGGAATGATGTTGAAGCCATTTGGGGATGGGGAGGCAGTGTATGTAAAACAACCCCCTCTTATATGTATTTGTCTGCTCATAAAACAAGTTGAGTGCTGGCGACATTTAATAGTTAAAATCGCTAACATTAGTGAGTATTCTGAAGTGGTGTTCTGTATAATATAGTTTTAGGGGGGGGTTAATATCAAATACTTGCATGTCAAAATAAGCTGAATAAAGTGAACAGTGAGTTTGCTGTGTCCTTTAATATCCCCCAAACCGCCCTTACAGTGTTGTGCCATTTACCTATCATTTGAAAGCCTGCATTTCCATATTTAGGCAATCAGAAAAGACATTAACATTTTCCAGTCACATTGCGATGAGGAAATGTTTTGTGCTGTAACACTGCTCCTCCCGTAGCCCAGTGGGCCATGTTTCTACCCACCCACACCCCACCCACCTTCATCGACAACTATAGGAGACCAGATGCACTGCTAGGGCCGTTTGTCCCTGGATGACTGAGCCCAGTGGACGCCCACAGGATGATCCACACACTGGGCAGCATTAAAAATGACATTGGATGACTAACTAATTAGATGACTCACAGTCTTTAAAGGTTATATATATGCGGTACTCACTGCATCTAGATGACACATTAGCACCAGCATCTTGGACTAAGACAAAATAACCCCACCTCCCCCTCCCTATGTTTTCTTGCTTGTTGCACTTTGCAAAGTTTTGTGAAAGTGACCCCTAAACACACAAGAAGAAGCACAACTGAAATAAGTTGCTCTGTGTACAAAACAAGAGAAACAACCCCCAAAAAAAACTATTCAGCTATGGGCCGTGCAGACCGGTGGTATGGATCCATCATGTGTGATCTGCACATTGGTGCTCCAGTCAGTGTCTGAGCATCTGTGTGAGGTGCTCCAGTCAGCAGGGATGCAACTAGTTAGCGTGACTAGCATTATTAGCGCAGCCATGCCGTGTGGTGTGTAGCCCACAGACTGTGTAAAGATAAAGTGCAGCTGCTGTGTGTCTGGATCAACAGAACTGTGCTGTGCAGGTGAAGAGGGCGAAAATGAACGTGTCCACTGGGTTATGATGTTTATATCTCTGCCTATTACAAGTGGAGCCATAGTGACTGATGAATGGTGGAGGGTAATGGATTCACAGACAGGGCCTTCCATGCACTAAAAAACAAACATGTACTATCATGAACACATGCCCGGGCCAGCTACAAAAACATAGAGTAGATGCCTTTTACATATTTCTTTAACATTCAACATTTTATTATCCTGGAGGGTTTAAGAATAGAGGAACAGTTCACACAAACAATGTGTTGCTGATGATAATAACTTGATGATTTCCTCAAATGGAGCAGTGGAAATGAATTAGAATTCTTTCTCCTCCAAACTACTCCTTTAATGGACGCTTACTAAGTTTTTTACTGGGCTACATGCCATATTTTATTGGTTTGATTATTATTGGATGATCAATATTATTGAGTCAGGAAGTAACTCATGCACATTTTTTTTTACTTTACTTTAAGTCACTTTAAAAACATTGATTCTTTCTTCTTTGCTCTCTTGTCTGTGTTATTGTGAAATGTGGCTTCAAACAAACTGCATTTTTTGTGAAAAGGCTGACCAGAGTCCATAAACCATATCTGATGTGATATTGATGTGTGCAACCTACGTATTAACTTAGAATTAAGCTTGTGATGAGCTAAACCCTGAGCCGGGCCCAACATGAACATTGATTCCATGTCCCATAAATCTCTTACAATATTCTGTCTACAGCGAACAAAGAGAATAGCATTCCATGAAATGAAATAGCTGTGAAAACTAATGTATTTTATCTCACAAGTGAGCAGACTCTGCTATAGGTCGACTGCCATATACAGTACGTGAAACGATGCATTGCTCTATTGAAGGAGAGAAAGAGTCCAAGTCAGATTGGAGCTGTGAGGGAGAGATTGCATGTCAAAAGATATCTTCCACAGTAATGGAGGAGTGTCTGAGAGCTCATGAAATGATTCACTGGTGAATTCATGCTCAAGTATAAATCAGATAGCACCAAGCCGCCTGTTTGAAGAAAGAACTAAAAAGAAACTGTCTTCACGTATTGGCTCCCTCAGGAGTTGTTAAAGTGGAAACATTCCTGGAAGAAAAGATTAATTCGACCATTTCTCCACCAATATACCAATGAAAAAGCCGTATCATTCCACGTATGAATACTGATTCCTACACAATTCCCCCTTTCAAATTGAGTGATGAAATCAATTGAAAGCAAATGTGTTGTTGTTGATGGCATAACAGCAGTCATTTGATCTGCAGTCATTTACGCAGATCACACTTGAGAGAAGCGACACAGAGACTGAGAGTATGGTGTCGACGATGGCACAGCCCCATTTGTCCCACAATTGAAACGGCCATATTGAGTTCCCATGTAAATGGATTAAAATGGAGAGAAAAAGTAGGCCCCTGTACTATTGCATGGCCTAGATACAGCAGCTCACTGCAACAACATAAAGTCGTATTATTTTTGTGTGCGAATACGTGTGAGGTGTAATCATGGCTGCCATGGTTTCCCTTTGAAAGATAAGCTACTACTCCGCCATGAAGCCTTCTGGAGGAAGGTGGTTTATACCTTTGTGGGAGGTATAAATAGATTTTTTGAGCTACAAGTATATGTTCCTGTATTTGTGTGTCAAAATCACAAAGCTGAAAACAACCCTATGAACTCCCGTGCAGGGCTCTTCCTGTAGAGGATTGTGAAGCAGCTGCCTCCATCAAATTTAGTGCCGCCTCTGCCTTTCAACAGAATCCAAGTACAGTGGAAACCACTTATAGTGATCACCTTTGTCCCGGGCCAAATATTTCACTGTAAGCGGTTAATTAAAAGAATTGCAAAGTTTCGTTATGATAGTCCCGGAACTTGAGGGAGAGGTAACGGCACCCACACACTCACTCTGCTGAGTCACTGCACAGAGCTGGTAACAGCTTATCTAAAACTAAGTGGTTGTTTACCAAACAGAAAGTTGTGTTATATATTTATTTGTTTCAAACATCATGCTAAATGGGTAGTAATGTTTACATTACAGTGATAACTTTATTCCAAACTAGCAATAAATAATTTATGTTGCACAGCAGTATATGGTTTCAGCGGTGAGTCAGAAATCAAAGAAATTTGCTAAGTGTTTTCTACTTGGAATCAATAACCTCATCAAAAGTAGAACTTTTTTGCCACAGTATGGGACAGGAAAAACTGTCGTCTCACCAGTTTCTTAATGTTATAGATATAATGTTAGACTAACAAAAAACAGGTTTTTATAGCAAGGGGGTTGCAGTTACTCTGGTTCCAAATTACATCAAACATGCAAAATGGTGGCATAAGTGTCTGGGCTGTTTTAGCTTCATTTAGCCTATGATTGATAAAAACTAAAAGGAGGATACAACGTGGAAAAGGCTGTGGGCGGGGGAAATAAAATCAAACTGACGTGATTTAAGGGCTACCCGGCAGGTGCAGATCAAATTATGGGTGCTATACGGGCAAGATGTGATCTTCCACCATTATACAGAGACACTGCAAGTTGTTTAACATACCACAACTATGATGAAAGTTACTATCAGATCACAAAACCCCTTCAGGGCTTCGGACCAGTCCCAGTTCCCAGGTTCCCCTCTGTTTTTGCCCGAGAAGTAACCCATGCAAATCTGAGGCAAGTGGGGGGATGAAACGTGTTGTTTATGAGCATGCAGAGCTTGCATCTTGCCACAGAAAACACCCGTCCTTAATGCATGGAGAGGATTTGTCTCCATTCCCTGTCCTTTTGTCCTTGCATGCATTTTTATTTTTTTATTTTTTACGTCTCCATTCTGTTAATAATACATGAATGTCCTCTTTCCCTCCCCCTCCCTCTTCCCCCTCCTCTCCTTCCCTGTAGCAATTATTGAACCCACCACCACTAGTGCTGTCTCAAGCCCAGGTCAGTATATGTCACCATGCTGTACACCAAATCAGCAAAGAGGTCTGCTGCCTCATACTAACCTGAGCCGAAGTCCTCTCCTCCATCTTGATTTATTTCAATTGGCTGGCTGGAATGACCTCTGGGTGTACAGCTTCATTGTATGTCCTTTATTTCTTTTATTTGCATTTCCTTTTTTTTTGGTTTCTACAGCCTGGCTACACATAGTTATTGCAGACAAGTGTCATTGCAACACCCCCCCTTCATTAAACCCCTCCGCCGCCACCTCCACATGGAGCAAAGACTAATAGTCATCAAAGTTCTGTTCCATACAGTATGCCTCTGGGTCTGATGCTTCTCATAATGCTGATGGCTTCTTCTTCTCCTCCTTCCCTTTTTGCCTTCCTCACCACCAACACCACCACTTTCCTACTCCTCAGTGCTAGATAAATGCAGTATACATCAAAGGCAGGATGCTGTTGGTGGCAAAGGCCCTTGGTTTGTTGTTTGTGAGATGGAATCTCTGCTGCCTTTGTACTTTTATCATTTCCCTTCTGCCTCCCTCTCTTTCTCTCTTCCAGTGTCTTAATCTTCCTTTATCCCTCTCTCTCCTTTCTCTCTCTGTTCTTTCCTCTTCCTAGAACAATCAGTTGGCACTGTGCCAACCTCTTTAACCTGATCTCTCGCTCGTGCTGTTGTCGGTGCTACACTGTCAATGTCGCCCTTGTCCCCCCCCATCGCAGTATCCTGCCGCTTCCATATTCCAGCACAGAGTAATCCCCTCTGCTTGGACGTCTTTTCTTCTTCTCTAATGGTTTTAAGCAAGTCACAGAATGTAATCTCTTATGCTGGTTACATTATTTTTGCTTAATACTGTTCATACGCAAAGAAACATGCAGACAAGCACTGGCTTTAAAAAGCTTTCACTGCCAGAGACATACACTATAGACATCGGAATGAAAACATGCTCAAGTGCACCTGCATTTACATTGCAAATCATAATCACATGTTGGGATTCATATTGCTTGTTGGATCTGCTCAGAGTGTTTGTGTGATTTTTCATCATAATCTGTGGCTCGATGCCATCGATTTCCACCTGGCATGGCCCTGGATTAGCACGCGTTTTTTATGTGTGTTCTCTACCTATCTATCTGAGCCAAATATAATTATCCACAGAGATACTGTCAGATAACAAGTTAAAATAAACTAAGCGGCAATGAACAGTCCTGGCATGGCCCTGACCTGTGATTTGATGTAATGCTTGCAGAACAAATTACAATTTCATGGTCCAAAGGAACACCAGTGGTTTCAATCGCGTAAATAAACCCACTAGACGACCCACTGTTCTTATTCTGTTCCAAGTTGTATTTGAAGTTAATTTTTTGATGCTGCCCCTAAGTGGCTTGGCAAAGGGAATTATTTTAGATGCCTGCAAAATGACTCTTTGTGCCAACCATTGTTTAATCAAGTTTAATAATTAATTTGAACAGGTTATTAGCTGCTTTTATTTCCCCCGTGAAGGAGTTTGGGAAGATGTGCTCCCAAAATAAGGAATATAATTGTAGTCTGTTAGGTAAGCCATTCAGGAGATCTGAAAATCGAAAAATTGCTCACCCACAGCACTTGCAGTGCATGTTTCAGTCCATTGATCCAGAGAAAATGACAAAAAAAAATCAAATTACATAGAGAAAACAAAGTTAATAACCAACATCAGTCATTGTGCTTTTATTTATTTTTTTGTGCCAGTACTACTCTGATAAAAAGTGAGATGGGCCAAGATGTCAATGAGCAGGTTAATTGGATCCTACTTCCAAGTTAGATATTAGATTGTTTTGAGCTTGTTTACTCTGATATTTCAAAGACAACAACTGTTGTTCTTTTCAACTACTTGCAACTGAATTACAGCCCAGCAAGACTTGTATTCTGAGCAAGCTTGAGGTCCCTAGAATTCTCCTGAAAAAATGGAAATCAGTGGCTGCTTAACAGATGGTAAAACAGTAAGAAAAAAAACGAAATTGTTTTAAATAAAAACCTGGAAAACAGCAAATAAACAAAAGTGAGAAAATTAAACTGAATAAGATAAGTGCAATATTGCACTTAAATGAATCTCACATTTTGATAATGGAAACATACCTTTTGTTTTTGTACCAAAAGGTTTGGATAGTTATTGGATAATCAAAAGAGGAATTGTGCATCTGAATTGTAAAGAGGCTCTTTAGATCTTGAAATAAAATTATAAATCATACTCATTAAGAGTTATCCCTGAGTAATATAATTGTAGTAAGTCAATTCTGTAAAGTTGTCACTAACAACCGCTAGCTTTTTTATGAAGTAAAGACTCAGTGGTTCCCACACATACACACAGGAGGTCACCTGCTCTCTTTATTATCCAGGGTGAGGGGGGAATCATACAGGCTCCAAATGAACTAAAACAAAATAATATGACCGGTCACACAGCAGTACTCTCTTTAGAAAGAGCCATCACAGATAGTTCTCTGAGGAAACTTTGAGTTCTTTGAGTGGGAGGCTGCTGAATCGGTGGCCAGGGCACTGTCCTCGGCTCTTGTGTGCTCGGGAGGCAGCATCAATCCTGATGGTGCTATCCGACTCATTTAACTAGTGATGGAGGCCAGCTCAGTAGCTGGGCTGGAACTGAACAGTCTGGAGGCAGAACCAAAGAGGAGAAATGCAGACATGATAAACAGCGTCCTGGATAACCCCTCCCACTCATCCTTTGATGAACTGTGGCAGATGGAGAGTGCATTCAGCGCCAATCCATCCCAGCAAAGAGCAAGACAGAGCTCTACAGGCTAAATCTATAATTTGCCAGATTGAATTGACGCTAAAGGTGTGGCCTCGGCATGGCATAGGTACGTACTATACGCCTTCGCTTGTCATGCAGCTTCTGAGAAGTGTAACTACACGTAGACCATGACAAAGTTGAGCGGTCTGCTTGGTAACATGTCTCGTCTGTCTCTCAGTAACCGGACAAGCACATAAAACTCATCCTCTTTCTGTCTCATTCGGTTCAATGGTTGTACTCATCGTCACTCTTTCCTGCAGTGCAGTAAAATACTTCTTGTTCAACATTTATTAGTTCCAACTCCAACATAATCCGTTGAAACCCTACCACCAACTAGTATTTTGGCAATGTAATCAGAGAGCAACACTGGATTGAATCAAGGCATAAGTAAAAACCAGGTGTAAGCTAGCTGTTTCCATCCTAACCTCATCCTGGCTGTTGCACCATATCAACAGTGCAGTTGTGAGAGTTGTGTGGTATTGATGTTCTCAGCTGCTATGAGTCAGCAAGATATCAAATTTATGTTTCCAAAAATATAAAACTAATATTCTAAGATAATGCTAGTAGGATATTATTATTTTATTTTGACACTTGAATTTCACCCTGTAGATTAATATTATCTATTCCTATTATATATTCATGTTTGTCAGAGTACCAGACAGAAACTATCTGACTCTGTGATCAACCACACATGAAAGTTTCTCTGCCTCTGTGGAAAACTGTAAATATTGACAGTGAAGCTCTTCAGCTTGTTTTTCATATTTAACTTATGGATTTGTATGTATTTACCGAAACATAAAACCCTGCTCCTATACTTTAAAGCAGGTGGCTTGGTGCCACCCTGTCATCCCAATGAAATGCAGATCTGTGATAAGCATATACTCCCACCGTCTTTCACCTCTGTTTATTTCTGCAAGTCACTTGACAGAAAAGACAATGTTCTTTAATGAGTCATATTTCTTGTCTTTGCGAGGTACAGAATACAGCTACTGGTTCGAGGAATATCGCTTGCATTATACATAATGTGTGACTGTGTCTGATTCCCATGTGCCATGTTAACTCCCAAACAAACACAATTCAGACAACCTGAGTGGAGCTAAGTGAAGATGATCCACTTGCTGTTTCACTCTCACCCTGTTAATCCAATTCTTAGCCCTCATTTCTCATATTGTATGATTTTTTTTTTTCACCACTAATATCTCATATAATCAGAACTAATTACCGAGGACAGTACTCTTAATGCTGTCATGTATCTTGGAGGCTTGTCAAGCATTTATTTGACCTTCCCCTTGACCCAGTGTGAAGCAGTAGGAGAGAGGAAGAAGAGATTAATGAGCCCATGAAGGTTTATGTTTCTTGTTAATACCGTGGAGTAGGCCATAAAACACGGCCCTGCTCTGGATTCACAAAGGAGCGACCTTTACGAATTGTTCACTTTTAATCCAGAATAATGCTCCACATATTCTGTTTGCATTCCACAAAAACAAACAGTAAAATCATTATTTTAAATAGATGTTCAGAAATTGAAAGTCTCACCAGCTTAATGAGGACCTTTTTCTGAATCATTCGTAGTTCATGTATCTTTCTTTATTCGAGGTCCAGAGAACAACATCAAAGAGATAATCTACCTTATTAATTATTCTTTCAAAGTCCTCCAGAATTCAAAAGTCATCCACTCAGTTCCCTAAGGCTCAGGGAGCAGTGTTATTAATCAAATTATTTTAGTAAGCATATAAAGCCTTAACCAAAGCAGAGCTGGCCAAATTAACTGTAAATAACAGATAATGTTTTGGAAGATGACTTTAAACAAGGTAAGGTTATGCTTTTCTTCTTTCAAATCTTTATTTTGTTATCTGATGTTGGGACCAGTTGAACCCTAAGGCACATGTTGCTGTTATTACACTGTGCACGACCTTCTCAATAAATAAACAACTTGGCATTTTTCTCTCAAGTTCTAGATTAATATTCTCTCTTGGCCATGACTTTGTAAATGTTAGACTAACTATTACTGGAAAAAGCTTATAAGGACATATAGCCTTGCTTTGAAACCATGTAATGTGTTACTTTGGTGATTAAATCTGCAGCTGTTTTTCAAAATAATATTGCTAAATTTTTTAACTTTAGCCCTCATGCATAATGCATTTTAGCTGCGTTCATTAAAGTTTAAAATCTTTTGGATTTGTTACCATGTTGTTTTTAATGTTTGGTCTCAGTGGGA